AAATTCCATCGACAAAACTACCATCCAAATAACGAAATTAAATGTTCGTATCTCATATATGTTTCAATTATTATATATATTTAAATAATTACGTTTCCCCCGCACGAGACACACGGGCCACTCGAAATTGCTTCGTGATACGACCGAATAAATGTCTCCTCGTCGTCTCGGTCCTTGCACCGTGCGTAACAATTAGTCAGGGATTAAGGGGGCGGCCGGTAGCTGAATGACGTCGACAAGACCGCGGAGTGTTACGCAAGTCTGCGAGTGCGTGAGCTGCGCGCGCGACGGATGACAAGGCAACGGGACACGAGCTCTAATCGCTCTGCGCCCACCCAATATTGATATAAATGAATGACGAGGCGCTCCCCTCGAGCGTGGCTCCTCGATCACGGACGCCGGCACCTAAATTTCGAGGAACTTGGTTCCCCAAGTTTCGCCGCCGCGACGGCGACGGTAACTTATTCCGCGTGCTCGCGCGGTGCCGTGTTCGCCTTAAGTTTCGCCGCGAAGTTCAACGTTCATCTACCGGGCATACGCTCCGCGCAACACTATCCGCGCGATCGTCGTGGATTTCTGCAACACCGGCTCAAGATTTCGTTCGTCATCCATCCTAGCCGTCTCGAGATTAAGCGGGGCGTACCCGCGCTTTTGCGACTCCCGCTTGACCGCCCCGAGATTCGCGCTCTTTCACGTTTCCGGTCCGTTTCTACGCGTTTGAAGATATGAAACAAGAAAAAAAGAAAGATCGCGCCTTCACTCGAGAAATAAACGCCTGAGTTGCAGTCGCGCAATGAGATCATGGAAAGTGGACGTTGTGTAACGACGAGTTGCCTACTTACTGCTTCTTTTCTTCGTCTTTCTCTCACTTGGACTTTTGGCGGAGAAAATTGAGTTTTATGAAGGAAGAAGGAAGAAGATGAAAGACACCGCTACCCGTTCTTCGTACCCGTTCTTCATCTTTGAATATAATCGCGTCGCGTGTGTGCCTCGTGTTGCAAGTTTCGTTTTCCAGTAGAAAAAGGTTTCGCGTCAACTAGGGATGCCGATTTTGTTTTCAAACAGATCGATTTAAAAATCGATTCAAATCACGGGGGAAAAAATTGATCTTTAAAAAATCGGTTGGTAAAGAATCGACTTCAGAAAATCCATTTGAATCGGTGTGCATATGGAGTGAACCACTCATTAAAGTATACTATCTGTCAAATTTGTACGCTCTAAAGTAGACTTCGTGTAATTCGTATAAAGTTTAATATGAATTAAAGAAATTTCCTTGAATCGATTCAGTTTCAGAAAATCAATTTGACGATTGACATCGATCTTTTAGGCTCCGATTAAATCAATTCGGCAATCAATAAATCGGCATCCTTAACGTCAACAACACATGGAAAGCGACGGGCAATAACGCCGCCGGTTTGTCATCCCGCGAGCACGGAAAAGATTTCAAAAGATCAATTCCTCGAAGAACCGAAGGACATTCTTGCGACACGAGCGAAAGATTTGTGACCGGCGTTGGTATTACGAGACGAAGCTCTCTTTGCATCCTGCACGTTACTCATCCGGCACGTTAAAAATAATTTCCCGCGTCCGTCAACCGTGCGATCTTCATGCAATCGACAGTGTGTCCCCGGCGTCGTATTGTCGAAACGGCAAGCGGCGGTAGCGCGCGAGCTGACAAAGTGTAAACGAGGAATTACTTACGAGCCGGCTAGCTGATGGCCGACGCGCGGACTTTCGTGTAAACAGACTAGTTTGTATTCTCGGGGCAGCGTGCACGCGCGCTTTGAGCATTGACTTGTAAAACGAGACCAAACAGAAGGTCTTCCCGCGGGACACGTCAAAGCGAGCCTTCCGTCGGTCCCGGTAATCTTTGGCTTAATGACACGACATCGCGACGCTCGCGTCGTCTCACGAATTATCCTTGGAAATTCAAAGCGACCCATCACAGTCACAAATTCATCCCCCCCCCCCTCCCATCCCTGAACACGCGAGTCTACGCGATCCGAATCTTTCGGGTATTCGTGCACTTTGCGAAGTTTCGCAGCGTAAAAAGACGTCTCTTGAGGCAGAGAAAGAAGGAACTGCATCTAGACATAAGAGCTAGCTAATAAGAGAGCACGCGCTGGAAATATTATATAATTGCGTGGTGTTTCTGTTTTGTACTTGGACGATACTTGGTAACGATGACACGTACTTTACCGTCACGACATTGTTAACAATTTGCGATAATATGTACTTGAACGTTGGCTCGCGTGAGTGACACGCATTTTCTTCTCTTAATTACGTAGCTAATAACCTACTACTACTTGGAACTGTCATCGCGAAATTTTAATCGATCGCGAGCAAATCAACCGTCGCCTGAGCCTGAGAATTGCGAGCGCACGTCCGCGATTGCATCGCTTTCCGATGAAAATGGGAGTGATATTTCCCTCCCATTTTCATCGGTGACAAATCAAATTTCAATGCGAGAAGTTGCTGATTGAAAATCAAAGGGCCGCATTTTCGCCCCGCCATCGAGATCTCCCTGTCTCGCGAGCATTGCGAAAACGGACCAGGGATTTACTGGAAAGCGTGGAAAGTAAACCTAGCCTAGCAGTTCGCAGCGACGCACACATTCGGATTAGAATTGATTTCGATGCTGTTGTGAAAAGTCGACAAGAAATCACTGGTGGAACATCAAGAATGGCATTGCCGTTTAAAATGAAATGTTCACATATTCCATTTATTTATCGTCAACCGAGCCAAGAGAACACGAAAACGTAGCAAACTGTCGCTTCCGATGGAAAGAGTTCACAACATTAGGAAATTTCGATACTTCGTACGTCATTTGTCACGTAATGTACGCATTAACGCGATGCAACTCGCTTCGCACATGGCATGAGAAAAGAAATAGACGACGACTGCATTTTTCACTCGATACGAAACTCGATTTTGTTTATCTAGCACTTTCAACTCGATGATTACGTCCGCTAAAACCAACGTCAACGTTATATTTGAAACGGGTAATTCATATCCTTCGCTAAAAGAAAGCAGCAAAATTGACGATCTATTCTCGCGCATCTACGACTTTAAACACTTATTGCACGTATTTGCTGCTGACCCATCCATTTTACTCCGGAAACTCGAATATATCGATTTCAAACGAAATCGACGACATCTATTTATACTCCGCAAACAAACAACCGATAAAATCTATCTTCACAAACCGACGAAATCTGACGTTCGTATTTTTCACATTGTCCGCTGATTCACTGATTATGTTTCCCGTCACCCTTTCCATTGCCACATTGCACGTCAAGGTACACAAAAGTAACACAAATCGTCGTATATTTCTGGTCCACATACGTAAATTGTGACAAAGCCGGCAAACCGTACTTTCGTGACGTGACAATGTCAAAACTCGCGTTTCTTCATATTTTCTACGTTTTACGATTATTGTTGATTCGCGTGCGCGACGCGAAAAGACACGAACGTTTACAAGTCGTAGCCGAAAAACGCGATAAAATTTGCAAACAATAAAAAAGATTTAAATATTTCAACTGCTTGTGCAAAATCGGCTCAAATCCAAACGCCCGGATTTAACGTGAATTTCGCGATGCATGCATTTACTGGCCACGTTCGAAAGACGTGATAGAATCGACAATCATGCTCCCACAATCCGCGATCCGGCACAAATAAAAATGAACGCTTCGCTCCACCGTTTTCTAAACGATCTGGATATTACACCAATAGTTAGCAAAAAACCGTTTTGCGCGTAGCAATTCGGCACGGATGCTTTTTCCAGTTTATCCACGAAAAGGCCATAAAATCGGCCATCCTATTTGCACGATCCGATGAATTAAAAAATTTGCCCTTTAATACGTTCACCGTAAATTCGCATATCGCACGCGACTCGCCCAAAACTCGTTTACTTTTTCGCTTTGTTCATTTATCCGCATCAAACATCGGAACACGCATTCATTCGCGAAACCGGCGGAATTATAATCCGTCGCGTTTGTTCGAGAATTTTAATTTACCGTAAATCGAGCTCGAAAACTGACGACTGTCACACAAGACCGAACAAAAACGCATTTATGCGCATTTAAAAAAATTTTATTCTCGCACACGACGTATGGCATTTGTTCGCGATCCTCCGTTACTTTCATCACCGATTACCGAACCAGATTGAACGCAAAATCGCTGATCCCGCGAATTTCCATCGATCGGTTTCTCACACGCGCAAATGCTAAGCACAAAAAGTTCCAGAGCACAAAATTTGCATCACCGAATTCACAAGTGCACGATAGACAGCCACAGATTCACCGTTCGTGTAGTAATCCTTTCGATTGATAGAGACACAAAATTTCACACATCGGCAAATGCAACATGAAAACCAGCGGTGCATCTGCGCGACTCATCGGCAGAAAAAAAAACAAATCCTCGATTTTCCACTAACGTGAACTCTGTCGCACAATTTCGGCACATCTCGATTCGGAAAATCGCAGAAAATCCGCTGCGTCGCGAAATTGGCTGAACCGGCGAAACAAACAACCCACTTCTGGATTCTTCACTAACCTAAAAAATCGCTGCTTGTACTTCCGCGACAAAGCGGCGCTCGAGAGATCGGAGACGCAGCTCTGCGACATGAACGCGTATCGGCGGGGGGATCAGGTTAATTTGCAAATCGACGCACTCCGATTTCGAACACCGCTTTCGCATTCGCCACTTTTCGTCACAAATTCACACAGTGTGCAGTGTGCTCGAGTCGCGAGAAATTTCGAAAGCGCTGCCGCGTGCAGATTTCATTGTCATTGTCGTCGTCGTCGTCGTCGTCGTCGTCGTCGTCGTCGTCGTCGTCGTCACAGGTTGCTTGCTCCGCGTTCTCGATCGCATCGATCGAGCGCACTTCGATAATGCCGCGACCCGCACGAAACGGAGAATCGCGATCGCCATCTTTTGTGATGAGAATGGGAAAAGCGAGCGCGGAAGTACAGGCAAGAGCACAGAGAGCCGGTACTTACGAGACACTGGATGCGGAGAACAGTTGGACCGAAGCACATCGCACAAACAGCCGAAAGCCAAACAAAACCAGAACTGTCACTGTCACTGTCACACGAAACACACTGTCGAGGTCCGCGGTGTCTCCTCGTGTATCCCGTCCCGGGAATTTGAGCACTTGTCGAGCGATCTCTCTTTTCTCGGAGCACGTCTCGCCGACGGCCGCGGTGGTCTCCGACCACTGCGTGTTACCTTTGGCTTTGCCGACGGTACCCCGGCCACCGGAGGATTATATTCCCGAGCGAGAGTATCTCGCACAGACAGATTGGAGGCCGAAACGGTCGCACCTCAGCGCACACAGCTACGCCAAATTGTACGATCGACGAAACGGGCCGTTACACTTGTTCGCTCGTGCGCGCGCAAGCGTGCGAACGGTGTTCCAAAAAGACGCTACGGGGACGCACTTGAACTTAGCCGCGCGCGACAGAGCTCGTCGCGTTTCACCGTACTTTCGTGGAGGAGTCGCGAGTCTCCATGGCGGTAGGTCGCGGCGGGCGAGGCGAGGCGGGGCGAGGTGAGGTGAGGTGAGGTGAGGTGAGGTGAGGTGAGGTGAGGTGAGGTGAGATGAGGTGAGGTGAGGTGAGGTGAGGTGAGGTGAGGCGAGGTGATGTGAGGTGATGTGAGGCGAGGTGAGGTGAGGTGAGGTGAGGTAAGGTGAGGTGAGGTGAGGTGAGGTAAGGTGAGGTGAGGTGAGGTGAGGCGAGGCGAGGTGAGGCGAGGCGAGGAAAGGCGAGATGAGGCGAGGCGGGACAAGGCGAGGCGTGAACGAGGTGAGGTGGACGGTGCGACTCGACACGAACGAGGGTGAAATAATTAGAAGCGCGAATAATATCCGTCGCGACGCGACTACGAAGGGAACGACAACGCGCGGCGAAACATTCCCTGCAACGGCGACGGAGGAACTGAGCGAGCACAGGGGACGAGAGAGCGTCTCCCCCCACCATACCAGCCGAGCGGCGGCGGTGGCTCCTACCACGGCCGGCGAGCGCTCGGTCGTCCTCGGCTTCGTTCGTCCTGCGGTCGGACCGGCTTCAAACCAGCCGCGCCGTCGAGCCGTCGAGCCGTCGTCCAGCCGTTTCGCCGCGCCCCGCGGCCGACTTCAAGGCAGTGAAGATCGCTCGCTCTCTCTCTCTCTCTCCTCCCCTCTTCATCCATCGCGACGCGTTGCCTCGTCATATTGTAGTTAGGCGGCTCGTGTATAAAGGCGTTACGCGGAACTTTCAGCGCGCGGGCCGACTCGAAAGTCTCGTTCGAGTCCGTCGTTCAACGAATCCCCCGCCGATGATCCGTGTTACCCCCGTCGGAATCGTCCAAGCATCTCGAGTCGAACGGCGCGTAGCTTCGGTAAGGTGAGTCTAGTTATAGGTTACCAACGTAACATTGGCGCGCGAGCGGAGCACGGTCTCTCTCGCGGAAGGAAGTACGATAATCTGTGCATACATATATTGCGAGATTGCGAAATTTCGCGACAGTCTCTCGCTCGAAAAGATCTGTCCGAATTAACCTAAAAGATAACGCTCGTTCGTATCGTCGAACGTCGTAAGCCAAATTATGGCTGCCATGTAATAATACTCAACAAACGATCCAAGATGGCTTCCGCTCGGCAATTTGAGCGTTAACGGTTATCGAACGTTAAAAGATGGCTGTCCAGAAATTGCGATAAAGTTCGAAATTGCACAATATCACAAAGTTCGGAATGTCGTTCTCAACGAAACGGCCGAATTCATGATTGTCGATATCTCTCTCCAACAGAGTAATAGTCGCGGGTCGCATTTGGAGATGTTCGGAATATCACGCCTGCAATTTACAACGCTTGGACTTTGTATTCGATCCATGTTAAACGGACACTTTCGCTCAGCGCGATTCTCACTTTCTCCGATGATCTCGAGATGTGATGTAAGTACTTATTGATTATTAATCATTGACACCGTTACGTGAACGTTAAAGAAAGTGAACGTTAGTTGTATTCGTTGCTTGTTTCGCAGCGGTAGCGACAAGATTAGGCAGACGATAAGATTACAAGAACGATTCGTCTGGACGATGTCAATTGCTGCTCCATTGCTCTTCCCACAATATAGCACATTGTATGTCACAAGGTTCACTTCTAAAAAAGGTATGTTAAAAAAGATATGTTAAATGAGTGAATTTATTCTGTATCAAAGTGTTGAAACCCCTTTTCCACGACTTGGCTTGGTTGTCATGTCGCGTCTTACTTCACATTACTGCACATTCACTGTCGTGCATTTTGACAGTTCGTGATTATTCGTGGTTATTCGTGGTTGAACTTCAAGATTTTACAGCTTTTTGTACTGAATTAATTGACTTTAAAATTTACTTATTCGAACCGCAGTTATTTTTTTACTGTGCAAATGTTGTGTTCTTTTTAATATAATATAAAAGCTATATAGCGCGCGCGTAGCGCGCGTCTGTTGTGTCTTAATAAATACAAAAAACATATAACGTAGAACATGATATACTATATATGCATAGGAAGTATTATGTCGTACATAATGATATAGATATATGGTTATTGAGTAAATAACTATTGTTTAATGTTCCTGCTTATTGTTGAAAATGGCACGTTTTTTACTCGTTCTTGTTTTTTTAACTTTAAAATAAGAACTGCTTATTATATGATTAAAAGATATATAAGGTATCGATATTTTCACCTTTCTCGATATTAAATTTTTCTTTTATTATTCTTATATATGCTGGAGATAAAATCATTATTAACGTAATGAACATTATTAAAATTATTAAAATTTTATCCTTACATTAAGGATAAGAAATAAGGATTTATAGGAACGAGAATAATGATATAATGATACATTCTATAAACAAATTCACATTCTGAAAAATTCTTTCATAAAATATCTACCAATAAATTACGAAATATTTATTTATTTAGTCATTATTTCCAGTTATTGCTTTTCAATGCTATCATCTGTAAGGTATTGTACAAAATAACCGTATTGTGCAGTATTTTATTGTACGCGTATGTGTATATGTAACACGACACGTATTGTTCCCATTAGAAAAATATTTGCTTCTCACACGCGCGGACACGATATGTTTTATTTAGCGAAGAGAGAGAGAGAGAGAGAGAGCCACACAAATATTCATACAAGTCCCATTATTTTGCCAACTTATTATTAAAATTATTCATACGATCGTTTGTAAAATATAAATATATCGCAAATGTATCAAACGGAGGAGAAAAATAGAAGCGACGAATTCATCCTGTAGTGTTCGATTTTTCTCGATATTTTTACTTCGTGGACGAGCCACAATATTTTTAGGGAAGCAAATGAAGAGATATACGATTACGTGAAGCACGCGAACGTTAGCTGAATTTTAGAGCATGCGTATTTACGTTAGCCTGAATTGCGTAAATGGTTTCACGTGTCATTCGAGCGTATATCAATATTAAGAAATTAATATTTCCTCAACGATGACCGCATCTTTCCGGTGACGAATACCGAATACCTAAGGGAGATACGATTTCCGCTAATTTACGCTTTTGTAATGAGGCGTTAACGCCGCGACGGAAGGTGTTTCCTTGTCTGTCTGTCCGTTCGTTCGCTGCCATATCAGGAAAATCGTTTAAACGAGCGCGTCCGCCTTCGCGTTTACAACAAATTACCGCGCGAAGTGCAAGTGGCAGACGGGAAATTATCCACGACGAAGGAAAACAATCCAAGGGAGAGGTCGCAAACTCCCTTGCGTTTAACGTACGCCTGTCTCGAAAACTGGAAAACATCGGGAAGTTTCTCCTGATATGGACTATTCTCCATCTTCACTTTTCTCACCTTCGCTTATCCGACCTCTTAAGTGTGAACCGGCGGAAGTCATTTTCGTTGCTTTAACGAAATGGGAAACGATGGTTTACTCACCGTAATGCGGCGAATAGATTGGAAACGACGCGTCGTTAAATATAGAAATAACGCGTTATGAGAAAACAGAAATGGGGTTACAAAATTCTCGAAACTATAGCAAATTCGGCGTCACGACACAGAGTTCTCGTTCGTCTATACTCTCCGTTTGATTTTGCATGTCGGTTGACGCATCTAAATTCCACCGTATGTACGTTTATTCGGTTTACGAAAGCTCTTTACTCTCAATCGTCAATTGCTCGAAACACCATTGATGTGGCAACTCTCTCTCTCTCTCTCTCTCTCTCTCTCGCTTCGTAGGATCCTAGTTGCAGGAGCACGTCGTACAGGAAACAGCAACGCAAAGACACCACACCGCACATAGTAACTCTGCGCTCCGAGCGCTCGTACACAATAAATTGAACAAAGTTAAATCGCACTGATGAGCGCATCGAATGGTTTACGATGCGCGGTGACCCATGTTCGGAGTCTCCGAAATCGCGCGCGCGCGCGCGTACGACAAGCAGAACTCGTAAAGTGCGCGCGAAACCACAGCCGGGCGTTTGCGAGATATACCGCCACCCCCGAAATTCATCCGACGGTATCTCATGGCGTGAATCGACCGCGGACAAAAGAGCACCCCCTGCGCGAGGGTACAACATAAACAACGCTGATCGCGATCTACATCGCGGAAGGAGAAGAGAAAGAGAGAGAGAGAGGGAGAGAGAGAGAGAGAGAGAG